AATATCTTCAATGTGAGGTGGTTTGTCACAATACAATACAACTAATAATTAACTGGTTTCCATTTGATTGTAGCTGTCGCAAGGGAACACATGCAGTGTCGATATATCTCCGACTCCGGGAACAGTAAAGAAAAAAAGATGAAACAAGAATGATCCAAACAACAAGCACATCGTAAAATATTACTTGGTGGTCAAATGACTAAAACGTATACAACTTCTAATTTCAACTAAATATGGTTTTCAGCCTCCTGATGCATATTGCTAATTTGGTGGTATATATTAAGTTTAGAGAATTTATTGTGCTACCTCACTATAATTAACATATAGGCAATGGACCATATAGATTTGAGAAATTGGTTCCTGTTCAAAACGGAATTGAAGCAAAACTTTTCATGTTTTAACAAAGTTTTAACATGTTACAGATCTCAGTATGATTTCGCAAATCACGAAAATGAATTTGATTGGACGAAATTGTCACTGAACCGTCCTCATTGGACGAGAAGCACGCTATTGTGTTTCGACTGTGCTCATTATAAAAGAATGATTCGCTCCAAGCTAAAATCATTCTACAGAATTGTTGATTTGAGAAGGATCACGCCTGGCATTTTTGCATGCGAAAACGCTAGTTCGCCATTCATTATGACCTGCGGTATTCTTCAAAAAATGCTGCGTAAGCATAATTAATTTGACAAGATGGCGGCCATTCGAAATGGCAATTTTAGTCTTGACGAGGTCTTAAATCAAGATATTTTGAACGACAACTGTGTCGAACGGCCGGTAGATTATTTTCAGAAAGTAATGGAGGCCCTTGGTAGCTGCACTCGGGAGAAAAGCTGCCAAAACGACGCGTTTTTCGTGGATGAATGTGCCGAGCAAGTCGAAACTTTACTGGAAGCTCATGATTCTCTGGATTAAATGTGCCACGGAAGATGACTAATTCCATAAATCCATCGCCAATACTACAAAGGGAAGCTCGGCTGTGGCTGGCAGGAATTCGACGGCGGATAGGGAGCAAAACGAGTATCAGAAACCCATATTTATTTACTCAGTTTATCATGTTTTCAATAATCGTGGGAAATGTTCGGGGTTTGTACGGATTTGTTGAACCATTTTGTTTTCACTGTGATGTCAAGAAGGCTATTGTTATTTATTTTACTTTAATGCGCTTTGTCAAGGAGTTATTTGCTTTATTATCTGGGTTGTCCAAGGATGTTGTGCCTGGCTACTTGTGCAAAGTTTTTCAACTATATATGGATTGGAGAGTGGAATGTCAATGGATTTCCTCAGCATGTTTGCTAGTAATGTCTGAAATATTATAATTCATTAAAGTATAGTCAGGTATATTGTAACAGTTGTGAAGATGTTTTCTCTCAAACTCTCTCTGCATTCACATTATGACATTATTAATTATTATAAGAGCTAAATAGCTGATAAATAGTGTATTGGCTGCCTCCATCCCTTCCTTTCTGTGATGGATTGTCACCCTTGGTCCCTTTATACCCAATGACTCTTCACAGCTGTTGCAAACATATCAAAACATTGTTAAGATAATTGGTAATTCTTAAAATGCCCATGCATAACATTTCTACCTATGTCTCCAAAATTATCAGCATGTATGTACCATTATTACATGTATTTATACTGTTACTGTGGCAATGACCAACAAGTAATGGGAATTGCCAAATAGTTCTCCATTTCATGATGTCAGAGTATGTTTCTCTGATGACTGGTTTTCTATAAATACCCAGATAGCAAAGGAAACAACTCAAATATTTTAGTGAAGTGAAAATTAAAAATATAATTTCTCTTTGCAATATTGGTGTTGGAATTTTGAAATGAGTCAACCCTGAACCAAGTGTTGTAGGTTTTCTCTGGGTACTACGGTTTACTCACACAGGAAGAAAAATCTGTTTGAAAAAGTTGTCCACTTTCATGACCATTTGACTGGCACTGCATGCATTTATTGTTGACCTACAGACAAGGGATTCAAAGCAATACATTTTGCCAGAAGTAATTATTTGCACATTCAGCTTTTTATTTTCTTATCTCAATCAATCTGCAGGCAAAAATCATTGCATACAACACAAATATAATGATGTGGACATCAATTGATATCTTGTTTTTTTTAAAGAAATACAATGGTTTACATAGGTTATGATATGGTTAGGTAAAATAATACTATATACAAATTAGCATAATATATCTAACCCAGAATAAGAACATCTATACAAAGTGAGAGATGCAACTTTAAATAATAACAACATAGTGTTGATATATGTTAATTTGTAGATGTATATGTAGTTTTCTGTATAATTGTATTAATATATTCTATATTGTTATTAATATTTTTCGTATATACTTTGTTATGACTAAATGCATCTGATTGGTTTAATTTTTGTCACATGATCATAAAAGCTCATGTAATTTTCCAGACCCCGCAACAAACTTCCCGACGAAGGGCCTTCGCTCGAAACATTGTCCTTGTATTTTTCAGGTAGTTGCATCCCTACCAAACAGGGGCGAAACTTGAGTTAGGGGGGGGGTCCAGAAAAATTTTCCACCCCCTCCCCACCCACCCACCTCTGTTCGCCAGCATTTTGGGGGAAACAGTGGCCAGAAATGAAAATTTGCTGCAGGGCATCATCGGTTTGGGCAGGGCAATTCTGGCAGACACCCCGAATTAAAAGGGGGTAGTTTTGCCCCTGCTACCAAACAAAGCTTCAAATGAAGATAGTTCTATGTTACTACCATGCACTGTGTGTGGCATAATAAATACACTTAGCACTTTACTGGGAATCTTTAAACTCCTGTGTTTTGTGACTAAAACTATTTGTCGATTAATTTTGCCACTTGAGATAAATCCTCATGATCACCAGGATCGACAGACTGTGCATGTTAAACAGTTACTGTTAGACTGGCTACAATTTGCTGCTCTTGTCACATGAACAATTCTTGGTTGTTTGCTATTAAAACCACTTTCATCCTTGCTATTGAATTTTTGAATCTAAATCATTAGCTGTAGGAAAAGAAAATTAAAAGGTAGGTTTAATCATTAGTTAGTTAGATTGATATGTGAGAGGTCTTAGACTTTTACATCAAAATTATTGAGTGGAACTTTATAAACATTTATTAGACCTAATCAGGAATGACTGTGAGAAAAGCAACTATAGGTCACAGGCAGGAATTGAACCTGCAGCCATGCTGCAGTGCTGGACTAAGGCCTGTTCATGCATTACTGTATATTACATATATACTAATTAAGGTACTATATACATATATAATACTAAAAAGGTACTGCCATGACCCTAACCCATAAGAGAGCTCGACAACTGGCCTCTGTTGGTTAGAGTGCTGCACTGGAATCGTAGGTCTAATTCCGGCCAGGGACCTACAGTTGCTTTTTTTCACAGCTGTTCCTTGTTTTGGAATAATAAGTGTCTATAAATTTCCACTCGACAATTTCCATGTCCAAGACCCTTCAACTATTATAATGAGTGGGATGCCAACAGAATCTCTTAGAATAATATATAGGCCTAGTGTCCTAAACAACTGAACTACAGTACAGAGTCCAAATGTCGAGCTCTAACCACAAGTATATATACTGGTTACTGCCTTGTCAATGTATCAGTAAATATTAATATGTTTTAAAGGTTATAGGTTTCAATTTTGGTATTTAGCGATACTAACACAGCAGTACCCAAGTATACACACATGAATTCCAGCTTGACAACTGGACTCTGTAGCTCAGTTTTGATGGTTAGAATGCTGCAATTGCACCAGGATTGCAGGGCCGATTCCAGCCAGAGGACACAATAATATTCAAAGTGTGTGAGCAACTAGCAGTCGGGATGTACCTTTCATATACCATGCTACTTTCCGGGAGTTTATTAATTTTGTCTACCACAGTATTTATTGAACTTGAAGCTCACAATTGGGTTGGCTTTAAATAGTATACAGTTTATAGTTTAATAATTAAAAATAGATATGCTATAAGTGATATAAAACAAACTATTATCTAGTCTAATGGGTTAGCATATTTGCAAAATTGTAAAGCACCTTAACACTTTTAAAACAAACTATTATCTAGTCTAATGGGTTAGCATATTTGCAAAATTGTAAAGCACCTTAACAGTTCTAAGTGTTAAGGTGCTTTACAATTTTGCAAATATGCTAACCCATTAGACTAGATAATAGTTTGTTTTATATCACTTATAGCATATCTATTTTTAATTATTAAACTATAAACTGTATACTATTTAAAGCCAACCCAATTGTGAGCTTCAAGTTCAATAAGTACTGTGGTAGACAAAAATTGTGCGCGAATATAAATTTATCATTATGACAAGAATAAACCAGTGTATAGCACGATCAAGATGGGCTCAGTTCATAATATGAAGATATATATTGAATAAAAGACCATGATAAATCAGAAACTCGATTACAAAAAATACAAGAGATATGTAAAACCTTTCTTACCTTGGAATCTAATCGCTTAAGGTCCTGAGCTGTATATATTGCATTTTTGTTTTCCTCTTCAACTGCCAACAGCCTAACTGTCTTTCGCATATACTTTCCAACATCGAATATTTTATTGCGTGCATGCCTTTGTAAAAGGAATAATATTATCTTTTCTAGCACATTTTGTCAAAAACAAAAAACATACGATTTTTAATAGGTATCTTGACTTGTATTGGATTCACAAACAAAATGAAAATAACACTGTAGAAAGAATCCTATACAAGCCGAAGTTGTTGCATTTTGACAACATGATGCGAAAGTCGCCATTTCCCTCAAATGCCCCGAACAACAAGCGCTCCTGCAGCAAAACATTCCGCGTAACCATGGTAATCTTGATATCATTTTGATCCCCGAGACACGCTCTGTTTCCCTGTTTACCTTAAATAACCCTCAAGGAAAACGCGCACAAGCACGCGCTCGCGGAATTTGAGGAATTTTTCAATTATCAAATTCGCTACCAAGCTCCCAAAATTGTCGCGCGGCAACGAAAAAAACTGACACATTTTAATGTGCAATTTCGCGTGCAAAAATGCCAGGCGTGGATCTTTAAAGTTCAAGACGGAGAAAATTATGGCATGTTTGAAGAAAGCTGGTTTGATTCTCTGGTTTGTTCTGATTACAGCTACGTTGGCTTTCTCCAGCAATGACATGGATACGTCTGAATTTACGCAGCGAAGGGCAAGGTACGTTAACATTTGATTTATTCAACTATTGCAAAGGCGATGATCCCTATATTAATCTCCTTAGCTCGCTAGCTCATCCTTAAAAATTAAAATATACTGTGCATTGTAATACTCTACTAACTTTATTTATACCGTGCATGCATTGATGGCTCTGTCAATCTGTCAAACCATAACCATCTCCTTATTGGTCCAGTGTTACAACATGAGAAACTGGAAAAGCCCATGGTGTTTGGTCAGTGGCGGATTACCAGTTAGGGGGCTTGTAGGCTACGTAAAATTAGCTGGCCTCCAGATGATCTTGATACGCGGAAAAGTACTGGCACTTGTTGTCAAATAGAAATCCATTTTATGATTAAAACAACTGAATATCTCCTGTAATATACTTTATTTCGATTCCATATTTTTGTCAGAGCTATAGTTCTCATAAGCAAACATAATTACAAAATTTCAACTAGTTTCATAAAGAATAACGAAAGATATAATTGACTGAATACATCAAAATGGATTTCTATCCGGACAACCCTTTCTGAGCGCTGATTGGCTAAAATACGAACACGAGATCACCTGGCTTGAGGATGATATTTCCACGCAAGTTCTGCTGGTTTAGACAACGATAACAATATTTATTAGGATGCTTGTGATGTTACTCTGAATTGATCTCCACACCGGGAAGGCTTGAAAAATATGCCTGGCCACGGTGGGAATCGAACCTACGACCTTTGGAATACCAGCCCAATGCTCTGCCAACTGAGCTACGCGGTCAGGTGGGTTCGAGTATGTGATATTTCGGAACTGAGTCTAGTTCCTTTAATATCAATGTAATCTTGTAATCATGATATTTTCTGTGTTGGTGTAATGTACTCAGGTGAATAAGATGCTTGTGATGTTACTCTGCATGAGTGTATATCCACACCGGGCAGGCTTGAAAAATATGCCTGGCCACGGTGGAAATCGAACCTATACGACCTTTGGAATACCAGCCCAATGCTCTGCCAACTGAGCTACGCGGTCAGGTCGGTTCGAGTATGTGATATTTCGGAACTGAGTCTAGTTCCTTCAATATCAATGACATGATATTTTCTGTGTTGGTGTAATGTACTCAGGTGAATAAGATGCTTGTGATGTTACTCTGAGTGGATATTCACTCAGAGTAACATCACAAGCATCTTATTCACCTGAGTACATTACACCAACACAGAAAATATCAATATTTATTAATTAAGGAAAAAATATAATAATTCTGATAAAAAGTGCGTTATCTTTAAATCAAAGGCCTTTTGAAAGTCTGGGCCTTTAAGCTTCAGCCTATTCAGTCTGCATGCTGGGTAACCCGTCGGCACTTTATTTGGTAGAGCACTTTTCTCGCCACTTTTGGTAGAGCACTTTTCTCGTCACTTTCAGTTGGTAGAGCACTTTTCTGCGTAATCTGCCGCTGTGTTTGGTATAACACTTTTTTCGCCACTTTTGGTAGAGCACTTTTCTGGGTAATCTGCCACTGTGTTTGGTAGAGCAGTTTTTGTTTTGTTTTGATAGAGCACTTTTCTCGTCTTCTGGCATGTGACGAGTTCGAGATTGCAGACATCTACATAGTCTCCTACATAGCCTCCTCTTCAGGCACCATCACAGTATTGACGGACAGAATTTGGTTGAGGGCAAAATATTTCTAAACCCTGCAACGTATGCGAGATACAATGATATATTGAACGAATTAAACCCCGCCATATAGAGATGAATGGCACATGTACTAACCATGGTGGCGCCAGCAACCCACAAATCTCCGTGATGCATTACAGTATGTTTTATTTTTCAGCAATGACCTCGTTAAACGCGAGGATCTCAAGACAAAACCATCCTCCTGTCAAGGATCCCCTGGATTACCTGGCAGAGATGGTATGTTGTGACATTAATTTAATTTCAAGTAATAGAGACCTGTGCATCAGGCCCTATAGGTATTTAACTGCCCCCTCCTTTATACCGAGCTTAATACACTTATTTTATAATAATAATAATGATTAATGGTTTATTCAAACTCTCTCACAGTTACAAGAACTGAATTATCGAGTTATTTTTTACAATATTATCTCAGAAAGTATTCAAGAATCGTAATATAAATCTAATTATCGGGATACAATTTATCTAAAATACAAGTCCATATTTACAATAATATGATAAATGTCAATTATGATAAATGTTAGTTATTTTGATATAACTGTTATCAATATTCATACAGGTCGAGATGGTCGAGATGCGACATTACGCGGTGAGTTGTTTAATTTTGAAAATTCATTTAGGGGACCTTGAGACTCTCCCCTAATTGAGACCGTGTCTATTTGAGGCCAATGTTATACTATCTTAAACAGTCCATGTCTAACTAATAGAATCAATAAAAAGTTCGTGGTCCGTGTCCACGTTTGTGGTCGTTGGGAAAAATGAGCGTGGCTCGAACTGTAACAACTTTCGCCGTTTAGCTGTTCCGCCTTTGTACATTTTTATGAGTGAACATGAACTGAATGTAAATCAAGGCATGAATACTGCAAGATATTCGTGCTGTATTTAAAAAATGTTTACCTTGCTTTCCAAATTACATGCCAGATTGATATACAGCCAGTCAAGTCAAGTCAATCTGGCAATAACTTTTTGTAAATTGGTAAATTATTTCCATAAAGTTATAAGTTATAATAAACGTTTCCTTTACTTCCTAAATATTCGCCATGTTCAAAATAATACAAATATTGAAAATGTTGTTGCTTTGATGTATAACTTCCATCGCAAAATTATAAAACGTTAACATGACCATCCTCTTCAGTAAGGACAGTAGCCACAATCATGCAATGGAAATACTCACTCGAGTTATACATTGAGGTCAAAGAGTAATGTTACGTCATTCTGAGCTAGCTCGCTGATTGGTTTAGAGTTACTCTTCACTCAGGCCAGACGTTTTAACAAACTGTAATCCTAATAGTAACACTCCTAACTTATTATCGTAGGCTATAAATTTATTGTAAATACGAGATGCCAGGCAGAAATTGAAGACATATTGTAGTAAGAAAGAAGTATAGATATTTCATCGTGCATGTGCGAATTTCTCTGGTCTAGCACTGTTTAACCAAAGAAGCTCAACTTAGACTGAAGACTCTCCATGTAATCAATCTTTGTTATTAATTATAAAACGTTTATTTATATCTTGCAGGCGCACGTGGTGAGAAGGGCGCACCTGGCCCTGCTGGGTCTCCAGGACCACAAGGGGAATCTTCTTCTACAGGAGGTGTGGTTTACACTAGATGGGGACGAAAGCATTGCCCTGCAACTTCGAAAACCTTAGAGATGTATTCAGGTAAGAACGTATTGTTACGTAGGAAAACGTTTCCTAATATTAATATAACGTTACGGCTGGGTGCTATGTAATTCGAGATTTTTGGACTATGTGACTTTTGCCTTGAATCCTTGATACAGCAGTTTTGAAATAAAACTGGATGGAGCATCTATTGTCAAACACTGAGTTGGAAAACATGACTTCATATCTGCATGGGAGACATGTCCTTGCGTATTGAGTATATTGGATATCCCAACAGACTATTGCCCATTTGAAAGGGGTCCGAAGTACCTACGTCGGTACCTTATCCGAGAAGACGCGAAAGTCTAAAAATTTACTGTTGTCAATATAAAGGTATAGCACTTTTTCTTTCGTTATTCTAAGACCTTGAGTAGAGATCCGACCAAGGATAGAACCCATGTCTCCTAGCTTAAAAGGCAAACGTGGTGACCACGACACAACATGCATGTACTGGAATTGTACTGTTTCAAAGGCTATTTTAATATTACATATATAGGTGTGATGGGAGGAGCTCATTATACTAACGCTGGTGGTGGCTCAAATTATCTCTGTCTGCCTTTGAACCCGATTTACGAGAAATACGTTGACGGCGATCAACAAGCAGCACATATGCACGGTGTTGAGTACCAACCCCTTGGTGAACAAAACAAAATATTTCCTGATCGTAATCTTGACAACGACGATGCACCGTGTGCAGTGTGCCACTCCAAAACACGTGGTAGTCACATGATGATCCCGGCCCGTAACATCTGTCCAGCTGGATGGACAATGGAATACAAAGGTTATTTAATGGCAGAACATTATGGCCATAAAAGAACCCAGTTTATTTGCGTTGATGGTGATCCAGAAGCCACGCACGGATCGTATAAGGATTTAAATGGAGCATTACTTTATTTTGTTGAAGGTTATTGCGGTAGTGCATTACCCTGCCCACCTTACGTCCACGGCAGAGAATTGACCTGTGTTGTGTGTACACAGTAACTGAAGAAAATAGAGGCTTTTCATCGTAGACATGTAGCTAGTGACAGTATCACTATTAAGTCGCAGCATAAGCATAAATTAATCAAATTATGTATGTCTTAGTACATATCAATGGTAGCACACGTAGTTGCCAAGTGTTTGTAAGCATGTTATACCGTAGCCTGCGAACAGGCTCTTTGAATTTCGGCTAGTTATACCGTGGGGGAATGAAGGACTCTCATTCACATTAACACATTATAGCACATGTTTGTAGTATAGATTTTAGTGTTTTTAAATACCTGTGCACTATGATAATTTCTGTTAAAATATACTGGATTGCATTTTTTAGTCTGTTTTTTTCATCTGCTAATATAAACTCGTCAATTATCTGGATCAGAGTTATTGTGATGCACTGATCTGAAATAAGACTGGATACAGCATCCTATTGTCTTGAATTCAGTAATCCGATTTCGAAGCCAGAATATTTTAATGAGATGAGATTTATAAATCAGTCAAATTCATGACCAGTCTAATCGTTTGCTGTTTAAGTTCAGTTAGACTATAAAGCAAATATCTTCGCCTATGTGACTCGTGAAATATAGCTTCCAAAACCTCTTCGAAGTAGTTTTAGAACATTTTATACACCACATAATGAGGCTTATGGCGGCCATATTTGATGGATGGAAAAAAGAGAGGCTACTGATGATAAATTCTTATCTCGGCAATATTTGTCCTTTCCCACCAGTGACTAGCAACATAAAGGAAGAGTTAATCATGTACACAACACCAGATTAGATTAATTATAGTATATAGGGCCATCCAATAGCAGATGCTTTATCCAGTCTTATTTCAGATCAGTGTTGTGATGTCATATTCGGAAATTTAGGAAAAGAATGGGTGCTTCCAGTTTAACTTACTACAAACACCAGTTGGCAGCACAGGATTTATATGGGTACTCCGCCGGGTTCCATTTATATAGTAACATTGGATCAATCATGAGGGATCCTTTCAGGTTGAGTCAGGAATTGGTTGTAAAAAGGCCGAATAGTGCTTTCCACTAACCTTTCTAAAAATTCCTGAAAAGCTGTGAACCCCCCCCCCCCTGAAATTTTAAATATATAAATACTTTAATATAGAAAGCTTGAGAAACGTGGATTTTAGAAAACTTGAAAAAATCACTATCCGGCGGATAACCCTATCCAGTCTTGCAATATTGAGTTGCAATTTGCAACAATCATTTTCCGTTCCTTCATCTTACTCTTTGTTCTCAAGCTACCAATCTTACATGCGCGACGGAACGGCCTCCCTCCCCGCCCCCTTCAAAATATGTTGTACTATTTATGAAAATTAGCGCCCCCCCCCCCAGATTCAAGATTCTGGCTTATTACTGCAAATATTAAATTTCATTGACAATCTTGCTCCAATTCCATTGTGTAGGCGAAATGGTTTAGAACAGAGGTTATTATTTACCAGGGTCGGTTGTTAAAGCAAGTTTATACATGCCCTTACATTACAGTTAATGAAACAAGCGTTCGGACAAGAGTAAAGTTGTGCAAAGTCTCCTGGAGTACAACGGTTTGGTACAAAGGTCAATATGTGAACCGTGTGATCTCACACGTGCAAAGCGCAACAAACCATTGTTAAATCTCTTCCCATGCCTGCGGGAAAATAGACTAATCAAGACCAATCAGGTTTCACCCCTTCGCATGCATAGTTTCCAGCTTGGATCAGTAAGCCTCATTGTGTCACTTGCAAGCAAAAGTGTATGACCTCTGTAGCAAAGGACTCCGAAATTACCACCCATCCCACCCTTCAAGGATTTTTTTTTATTTTGCACCACACAAAATAAATAAAATCCTGTAAATATTGTTTTGATATGCAATCCGTTATCAAGATCTAAGATTCGTATGGACTGCAATTCATGTAGTGTTATATAGATAAAGTATTATGGAGTAGATACTGGTTAATATGTTATTACAGGCACATCTAGATTTTGTAATATACAGTATTGGAATTGACTTTGCAAGTCTGGTCGTAAAAATAAAAATATTTGGTTGTTGGGCATGGAGTTCTCCCAAAGGTCACATTCAACCCCATAGACTCTCACAAATTAATTATTATAGCTACAGTGTATTGTAAAATAAACAATGTCAATGACCATCACGGGGATCTACAGGGTGTATAAAAAAAATTTATTGTAGTAATTTGACAGCTCTAATTGCCTTGAATTAATGGTTGGGTAAGAACACAAGGAATACTGTATTTCTTTTAAATTTTCTAATTTTTATTTCTTTGAGTTTTGTCCCATGAGTACAAGACCTAGTGTTCTTATCCAACCATTAATTTAAAACAATTAGAGCTGTCAAATTACTACAATACGTTATAGCTAATTTGAATTTGAAAGGGTTCAGTTTTTTTTATACACACTGTACTGTACTGTATACTACCCCCTGGACATCGAAGTAAACAATGATCATCACTGGGATCTACTACCCCTTGAACATTTACGATTTAGGATGCCCATCTCGGGGATCTACTACCCCTTGGACATTTATGATTTAGGATGCCCATCTCGGGGATCTACTACCCCTTGGGCATTTATGATTTAGGATGCCGATCTCGGGGATCTACTACCCCTTGGACAGTTATGATTTAGGATGCCCATCTCGGGGATCTCCTACCCCTTGGGTCATACATATAATTATATCATAATCATATTGCTGTAATAGTGAGTCTGTGGGGCGACACTTTGGCCACAGTTTAAAGTATAATCGGAGCAGTTCTCCTCGACAACCCTTCTCCCACAACACTGTGTGTGTCATAGTTGTTTTCTTAATTGTCTTAAAGCCTGGTTCACACTGGTCGTAATTCATCGGCGATCTATTGTATTCTTTTCGGACAGACAAAGCATTTTACACACCAATGACCACAGACAATGGAAATCCCCGATTCTTACGACCAGTGTGAACCAGGCATTAAAGCCTGGTTCACACTGGTCGTAATTCATCGGCGATCTATTGTTTTCTTTTCCGACAGACAAAGCATTTTACACACCAATGACCACAGACAATAGAAATCCCCGATTCTTATGGCCAGTGTGAACCAGGCATAAGCCTGGTTCTCATTAATCGGCAATGTTCTACCATCCATTGTCTGTGAGCAACGAAGAAGAAAATGACAAAAGATTTTGTGCATCAATGACCACCGACAATGGGCGTCGCCGATGTTTACGACAAATGAGAATCAGGCTTTAGAATATTTGCTTAACGAATTGGTGCATTAATATTCAAAACTCGATTAGTGCTAACACTGGTTAAAATTGAACTAGTTGTTGCGTGTAGTCTAGTTGTTTCAAAAAAGATTTCCATGTTTATATAAACGAGCTGTTGGAATTGAAGTTAATTTGCTGCATGTGAATTTTTACGTGAATAATAGTGGATGTCCGTTAAAATTCTTTCTAACTTATGCATGCAATAGTTTTAATTGAAAACTTTAAATCCTGCTTAAAAGCCGGTTCAGTTAATTCCCAACTAGCAAATTTTTCAAGCGAGGTGAGTTTTTTTCTTATGACCTATCAGTTGGAACAAATTAGATGCCTATTCAATCTTAACAATAGAAAGGTCTACTATATTCACTCGAAAACAATCGCTAGTGAAAAATGGGCTTTAAAGAATAAAGGATTAGAAGTTTGTTCGCGAAGCAACTTAGGCCTGTTTTATGCTTCAAATTTCGGTCGCGTTGAATGCAATTCAAACAAATAGATAATGAAGCTTAATGAGGTTTATCATCTCATTAAATGTCTTAATCATTATTGTCTTTAATTAATTATTATTGAAGTCTTAATTGCATCTTTGTTTTACAAATCCCATCGTGCTGATAAATGCATGCAAGATTATACAGGGTGTCTCAAAAAAAACCAAAATCATTGAAATTGACGTATTGTTCGATATTCAATGCCCTAGCACTAAGTTAATCCCACGAGTGCATAAAAGATTGACATAACTGCTATAATGAATGGTAATACTCAGCGTAAACTTGTTATGTCAGGCATAAAGTACTAAACCCACGAATGCATATTACGCATATTACAATTTACGAAGCATTTTTAAATTCCCATGAGCAAACAAACGTTCACTTTACAAAGATATTTTAATTTTTTAAAACAAATTAATCACCCTGTCAAAATCCTTTGTGTTACGGCATTGAAATTCGAACAATACGTTATTTCAATGATTTTGGGTTTTTTTGAGACACCCTGTATATCGATCGGCATACGACAAGCAGTTTGCAGCTTGTTCGTGAGTTTGAATACTAATTAATATATGATCGGTAGTGTGCTGTACAGTCATGCACGTATATTTTATTCTTTGAATCCGGCTTACTTTCGACCATTTCGACAACAAAACCTAGTCGTATACATACATATAAGAACTTCTCCCAATTCCTGCAACCTACGGACTACAACAGAAACACAAGCGAGGAAACAACAACATTGCCATTGGTTTCACGGCCGCATCGAGAATAAAACTAACCGCCGCTGGCGTTGTCTTGGACATTTAAGATAAATTACATGAGAATATTGAGGATTTTCTGAACGGATATATATTAATGAATGCAGACACTTGTGTGGACGTTGTAGAGAACATATCTATGAAAAAGGAAGAGATTAATACTTTGGAGACAGTTCAGAACTGGACGTTGGGACATGAAAGCTCAAACGATTCAACATGGCAGCCTATCAACTCTATCACTGCATCAGAAGCTGTGGATGTATCAGAAACTATTTTTAAACCTTTTGACGGAAATATATCGACGGCAGAAGATTCTAACTTAAAGATAAATGAACATGTATTACAGCAAGATAATCACCCTATAGATACGCGTCAAAACAGGACAGCAATACATGAAAGTACAAACGATTCAATATGGCAGTCTACAACACCAGGAGCTGATGATGTACCACATACCAATGACAAAAATATACCGACAGCCGAATACCCTAGCATGATAGTTAACAAACACAGCTCACATGAAAGTGGAGACATTTTGCTTGCAAAACTAAACATTGATAGTGACGGGTCTACGAAGAGCGAAATAAGTGATCTGGGTACAAGTACGAAAAATAACGAGAGCATTTCAACAAATGATGAGACTGGCAATCAAACCGCGGTTGCAGGGAACGAAAAAACAGTAAATCAAAATGTAACAACGGAAGTGTTAAGCAATGTCGAAAATGTTCATCACGATAAAATAACAACAAAGGAAGTCACAGACAAATTTTTTGAACCTTCTTCTTCAAAGAGCAAGAACACAGTGGTAGAAGATGGAAGACACGATAATCACCACCTTTGTCATGTAACTGGTGTGGATAAAGCAAATAGAGGAGAAGTGAATCATCAGCTATATAATGTAGCTAGTTTGGCAGGTAGAAATCATACGACTCGCCACCTTTCTCACGGTTACAATTTAGCTTGCGGAGAAGGGATTGTTGCGACTGATCAGCTGTCTCATGTAAATATTGCAGCAAGTGGAAAAGTCAACTACGCAATATTTCCAAACACTTGCCCTCACCCAGGTCATATTTTACATAAAGATATAGCGGATGATCAACTACAGCGATATCTGGAAGATGCGTGCTATGAAAGTGAAAGTATAGCGAAAGAAACTCTTAGTTCTTTCGGCAATGAAAATCAGACGCAAGAAATGAACCTTGACGATTTCGTGGAAATATCGTTGGAGGTAAAATTATGGTATTGGAAAATTATAATTGAGCTTCAATTTGTGCATAAAACATGGCTATGTCACAAATTTGATGACACTTTAACTTTTCATGTTGTGGTCTATCACTAAAAACCTCTTACAGTCTTACTTGACTTAATCTCCGTGTGTACAAACTTCATGAAAGCACGTCATTTTGGTTTCAGAGAATCGTCAATTTTATAGAGGACCGAATTTTAATCGGAAGATCTAGCTCATACAAGAAAACGAGACACTATATTAGCAAGGGGCCAAGGCCATGAACTTTTTGAAACCGAAAACTCTTGATTTAATTTTGTGTAGTTTCCAACTTCCCACTATTCTTTGTTTTTTTTTCTTATTTTTAAATAATGCAATTTATGACAGCTAACAAAGCGATCATATATATTTGTTTCACTTGTTTTTATTTATCCGTTGAACATTCAATCGTGTAAACCAAGAGCTATAATAAGATGTGGCTTTTTGTTCCTAGGAAAAAAGATCGAGCAATGATTCTTCAATAGGAAGAAACCAAGCCCAAGGTAAACCAAGTTGATCGTCTTGATCATGATCCGATTATTATATCTTTTTATATATTTATTGCATAAAACACAAAGTTATTAAAATTAAAGTTTGAAAGTTCAAAACTAAAGTCGACAATTGAAACATATTTCACGCTTTGAAATCGGAAAAAAGTAAAAGAAATTATTTTCTCTCAGATAAATATTTATAACTTTATAATTTTCATTTTTGAATTTTCTAGATACCTCGAGTATTCAGTTCAAGAGTCATGGTAAACTATGTTGTCTCAACAAGTGTTTTAAAAGATTTCGTTGCACCTCCTCTACCAAAAGTTGATATTATATCTTATATGTTAGTTGACGTTTATTTACTAATTCGGTTAGATCATTCCATAATATTCTCAAGCCTTACAAAGAATTAGCGGAGGGCCGCGGAGCGATATTATTTTATTTTTATAAGCTATCCGTCTGATATCTTGCTGATTTGTACTACGAAGCAAACTTAATTTGTCAAATAAAAATTATTTTTATAAACACCGTCTTAGTTTCAGTCAATTGACCATTTGCGTAATAGACTACATTTTGATCTAAACAAATCTAGACAAAAATTTCATCACAGCTTGAAAGAGCATCACAAAATTAGTAATACTCCAAAGTTTCGTTGCAAAATGTTGTAAAATGCGTATAATATAGCCTTGCGAAATTTGCAATTTTCAGTCATTTTAGATTACAAACGGGAAATTGACAGCCTCAAAGCGCATCGGGCTGTCAATTTCCCGTTTGTAATCTAAAATGACTGAAAATTACAAATTTCGCAAGGCTATATTTTACGCATTTTACAACATTTCCTAACGAAACTTTGGAATATTACTAATTTTGTGATGCTCTTTCAAGCTGTGATGAAATTTTTGTTGAGATCAAAATTTAGTCTATTACGCAAATGGTCAATTGGTATTAAAAAGTTATATTACAGAATTTCAGTGTGTATACAGTAGATTAGGTAAACCCATGACTCAGATGCATGCAGGGATTGGCGTTAAGGATTAACAAGACAGCTGTGGATTTCTGCGGATTGAGAGAGATATGTACAACTACCTAAAAAATACAAGCAGAACTTCGATGTTTCGAGTGAAGCCCAGCTACTTATATAACTTCGAGCGAAGGCCCACTACTATCTTCCCAGCAAAGGCAAAGGGTCCGAAACGTCATAGCTACTAACTTCGAGCGAAGGCCCACTACTATCTTCCCAGCAAAGCCAAAGGGTCCGAAACGTCATAGCTACTCACTTCGAGCGAAGGCCCACTACTATCTTCCCAGCAAAGCCAAAGGGTCCGAAACGTCATAGCTACTCACTTCGAGCGAAGGCCCACTACTATCTTCCCAGCAAAGGCAAAGGGTCCGAAACGTCATAGCTACTAACTTCGAGCGAAGGCCCACTACAATCTTCCCAGCAAAGCCAAAGGGTTCGAAACGTCGTAGCTACTAACTTCGAGTGAAGACCCACTACTATCTTCCCAGCAAAGCCAAAGGGTCCGAAACGTCGTAGCTACTAACTTCGAGCGAAGGCCCACTACTATCTTCCCGGCAAAGACAAAGGGTCCGAAATGTCGTTGTATTTTTTCAGGTAGTTGTGAGCTCTCTTGTTATCGTCGTAACCTGCACTGGCACAGACCATAGGATTACGTTTAGTAGACACTATGGGAAGCAGGGAAGAAGATGTCAGACAACTGACTCGATCATTAGGAACCGTCCAAAAGGTATAAGGAGAAGAGGGAAATATTGGAATCCTGAAGGAACAACCTGATATATAAAACTTGCGAACAAAGCAAAAACAACACTACGAGGAAGATCCAATCGAGATCGATAAGATGATGGTTCTTTATCCAGAAACAATAAAAATAATTCTTACATATTAATATTTTCAAAATTACTTCTACTATAATATGCTAAAACCATGTCCATATTATCAGGGCTTTTTCAGGATCTTGGGTCTGTGGGGATGCTGATACCTGTACCGAATAAGTACAGTTGAAACGCAATGTGTTAAAGTAGGGGCACTAAGGGACACTATAAACTGGTTAAAGATGGCGAATGCGTAGTTTTTCATGTGTTGTGAGATGAATTCCAGCCATTCTTAATTGTCGGGCTTCCAACTGAAAACTAATTTCCCCACGTCACGAATTTAACTCAAACAACATCATTTTTACTGCGCTGAAACTATTGGTGAGAAGATTGAGTTTCAAAACTCAATTCAAGATTGAGTTTTTGGTACCGTTTCACAGCCCTCAAAACTCCCTGAAAAAACCCCTGTCGGTCCCTGATTGTAAAATATATATTATTATACAGTATATGTACATGCATAAACTGAATATAGCCCACAATCACTAACTTTAGTTACTATATATCACGTTATTTCGCTATTGAAAGTATAATTACTTCTATTGATTTCTCAATTCCTATATTTTTCAACAGATTTAAAAATTTTGATCGCATTTTTCTCAGAAAGCCTTTGTTGTCCAGTTGTTCAGTAGGAATACAAGGCTGCAGGTCAAACGAAGGATTAACTTCGCCCTCTCTTGCCACGAGGACCTTCCAAATAATGTTCACTCGAAGATTCGGATGTTGCTGGTTACAAATTGTCATGATAGTCTCATCTCGCAATGGAGTGTAGCTAACTAGTTCAGGATACCCTGCTTGAAAATGATTGAATGTCTTTAAGCGATCTCTCTTCCATTTTGAATAATTCTGCAGAGTCACAAAGAATTGCTGAAGTTGTTTTTCCTCCTGGACATATTCAAGAAAGTCTTTCAAACTGGCATCTCCATTTTTTATGTTAACATCCAGGTTAATGACTTGAGGCAGGTTTCCATAGCCATCCTGATTATCTAGAAAACACAATTTAATTATAACTTGAAATTTAAATATTAACAATTAAAATATTAACAATTTAATTATAACTTGAAATTATAATTAGCCTAATTACATAGTAACTAGAGCTGCACACATCGGTTCCTATTCATAATTAGCATGCATTAATTAAAGTGTGTCATTTTTTATGTGAAGTCACTGCAAACACAGAATTGGAAGGTATAGCAGAAGTGTAACTCAAGCAAGTATAATTTGTCCGCGTTTTTACAAGCGATTCATCATCAATCACGCCATCCTGGCTAGTACAACCGGCACTTTGTACCTACCAAAACCTGATAAAAACTTCCGGTTGTACCACAGAGAAGAGATATACAGAGAGGAAACAGACACCTCGATGACCTGAATTTTTGTGTCACGCGTTCCACGCAGGTTCCACGCGCCACGCAAAATCTTCCAGCCAGTGCCGTCGCTAAAATTTCATAGCAAAAGATAGGGAAAACGCCGTTCTAAAGGTGAAAATCGCTTTTTTTTAAAAAATGAGATACTCATGGAAGTTTTGTTCAATAAATTGTAGAATAACGGTAAGCGATCACTTTTATTGATTTCCCTTTATTAAAAGTGTTAACATAACATTTTATTTTGCAAAAGTTTGTTTTTTCCCCTATCTACTCCTTATTAAAATCGTGAAAAGCACTGGCTGGACCGCCTGGAGGTTTCAGATGCTCATATATAAAAAACAAAGCAGCGAATGATATAAATGCCACAAAATATAACTCCTGCATAAAAAAAACATGAATACTTCTATAATATGTATAGTTTTTTCCTCTGCATGGTCAAAATTTAATAAAATAGTGAATTAATATAAATTTTCTATAGTAAATAGACTGAATATATCGGCGTGACACAATTTGCCGCGTGTTTCCTCTCTGTATATCTCTTCTCTGTGGTTGTACTAGCCAGGATGGCGTGAGCGAGTTAAAATTTTCGTGGACGTAAAACAATAAGGGAACCGACTTGAGTTCAGTGTGACCAGATGTGGTAATTTCATTACTACCGTGGTAATTTTTCGTCATTTTTGGACGATTGTGGTAATTGGAAATTTGTGGTAATTACTACGGTAATTTTTGGAATTGTGGTTATTAAGCTGAAAATTGCTAAAAAGTCAATTAAGTCAGCTATTTTGGTACTTTTTCCAGACCTAAAGTTTCCAGACCTAAATTTTACAGATTTTGGGTAAAAAACCTTAATTTAACTGGTCTTTAATTTAAAATTTGAACCTTAATTTAACTGGTGGTTGTCCCAAAAATTTTGTTGTCTGGAAAAATTTTTGCCCTCCCCCCCCTCGCCAACATTTTTGGGGAAAATATGGTACCGTGGTAATTTTTGACCCAATGTAGTAATTTTATGCAGCCGGATGTGGTAATTACCCCTGAAAAAACCTGGTCACACTGCTTGAGTTACACTTCTGCTGTATCTTCTTATTCTTGTGCTGCAAATAACAGTATTGACATTGCCATCATAGTTGCCACGGTAACAATTAAAGGGGATGGAAGAATTCCAACAATAGAGAAACTACATGTCTGTTAATTGCACTTATGCCCCATTTTCATGTGGTTATTTCCTCATTTTTCAAGCAGAATAGGTTTAAGAATAGGCACGTGATTGCATAGTATTTCAGTGTGCAAAGCAGGCTTAAGTCTAGTGTGATTGCACTTAAGATTTTCAAAGAGAAACCACAGTTAACAATGGAGAAACATACCTTATTCATACTTAATTTCGTGGCAATATTTGGAGAGACTTAATTTTCGTGGATTTGATAGCCAAAAATAGAAAAAGGGCATCAAATTTCATGAAAGCTTCTGAAAAACAATTTATTTTCTACAACTTTCAAAACAATTCAACATAAGATATATACTCTCTGCCTTGGTAAAACAGGCAAAAATGAAAACAAGCTAATGAGGCAACAGCGCAATAAACAGCAAAGTCTATTGATGGCATAACTACTTAATCATTTTTTAGAAAAATTCTTGTTACTGAGTCCAAGCTCTGGCTCAAAAATATTTTAGCAATTCCTGCAAACACTTTGCCATCACATTTCTTTTGAACCACAACAGCCAAGTTAATGGCCAAGGCAGGACATACAAGCAATCTATTCGGTATATTCGGCGATATTTCGATTTATCGCGATATTTTCAATCGCGATTATCGTATCGAAGGTAGAAACTTGAGCGACGATATATCGAAATTATCGTCATGCTCGATGACTATCGTGATATTGCTTCACTTTTATAAAATCCTAAAAAATTCTTTCAATAATTTCCTAGAAAATATAGTTTTTAAAAGAATTCAAACTATTTCCTGAATCAAATACGAATTTATTACGATACAAAAGCTAATATTTATGTATCAATCCACGCTGAACAATGAAATTGCAGGCTTTTCTTGCACTGTGTGCCCACAGCATTTGTGCCGGTGGAGACATGACACTGCATAGACAGTTCTTGTTTATGACCAGTAAATATTAGACTAGAAAAAGCCTTCGTATTACTTTAATTTGTTGTTTTACTTGTTTTTAATAAGATTATATATAAGCTTACTATGCTTTGATATTAATTGCTTTTATCGCAATATTATCAAATGTCGTGATAATTTCCCTCACAATAATTGTGAGATAATTTTTTTAATATCGCCCAACCCTAATTACAAAGACGATATGTTCAGAGGGGCCGAAGTTATTTTTGGCGAAAGCAAGCCCGTAGCTGGGTCTCAATTTCTGGGGGGGGGGGGCACTCACTGCAGAAAAAATGTTACCGACGAAAAAAATGCTTCTCCGGAATTTATTTTGACCCCCCCCCCCGTCGCCAAAAAAATTTCGGTCAGTGTACCATTTTAGGGGTCAAAAAAATTTTCCGGACATACCAATTTTTCCGCACATGCTCAAATTTTTCCGAAACCTAACTAAATTTTTATAAAATTACTAAATTTCCCACAAAATTTACAGAATTTTTTCCATTATTACAATTGGTTCCCAGGCCCTTTATCTCTATTTTTCATGCCCGATTTCCGAGTGGGGGGGCACTGGGGGGCACTGCCACACTGAGTGAGGGGGCATTGCCCCCCCAGGCCCCCCCCCAGCTACGGGCCTGGGCGAAAGGTATAGCTAGTCTATATTTTTGTTCAGACAATTGTGTAATTTGATAGCATACGATCTCGTTTGACTTTCAAAGGCCCATAAATCGCTACAATGTTGATAATGACTATAACTATTGTGAGGAATTAGTTGATCTTTTATATCTGAATTGAATGGTGGTATTTCTGTCTTCATAGCATGCACTGAACCGAAGATATAAAAATACAAAGCCGTCAACCTCTCGAGGATGACGAGACTGGGACGTGTCTAGAGAGCATTTTAAGGTACATTTACACACTGCGAAATTCAGCTTTAATTAAATTATACTTTGAAAAATATGCTGTCATTGTCATCTGACAACATCGTCAACTGACAACATTCGTCATTAACATTCGGCAAAACCTGAAATCGGCCCAATTAATTGCAGCATGTAAACGTACCTTTATATGGAGCCAAGTTACTCAGCATAAATTTGCTGCATTTTAAATACTAGGTAAATGTAATCAATTTTAGAATCCTGAACAAAATATTCATCTCTCCTAGCCGAGACTTGGCAAGGTGAATACTTGGTTGTGACATCACAACATTCACCTGGATCTCAGTTTGTATACCTGTATCGAATTCATGAGACCTTTGTGTGTGCAGACATGTGCGCCAAATACTAGTACAGTAAATATATTGTTGTACTGGTGGTTGTGTGCCAGACATGTCTGGCCACAGCACTTACATTCCATATTGATCCATACAGTACAAACAAGGGGGAATTTCGTTCTCGACCAATCAGCGCTTTTGTTTACATTTTTGCCCTAAGCCAATCAGAATGCGTAAAACGCTTCATCACATGAAATTTGTAAACAAACATATGGGGTTACTTCAGAGCTTTTCTGCAAGCGGTTTTTTGTTTTTTTGCCATGAAATTCATATATGTTGTTCTTAAAAGAATTCTCCTCAACTTCCTCGTGGCAATTTTTGATCAATTGCGTGATTGCGAAGATATGGGTCTTCAAACTTTGCCTTGCGCAAGCTTAAATACCACCCCTCGAATCTGTAGGTTCCGAACGGATTAGCGTTTTTAAAAGCCTTTCAAATCGAGGTTTGAGAGGTTTTATTTTTTAAAAGATACTTTTATCTTCATATTTTCACATTAACTTATTAATATCCTGTGTAACAAGTAAACAGGACACTTCCGGGCCGGGACAAGTTGACATGTCGAATTATTGCTAAACAGCGTGGCGATCAATATGGCGAATATCTAAATACAGGGAATTTTTAAAATTTGTTGGTATAAATGGGCTAAAGAAACTCATCAAATATTTGGATTATGGACCTTCGGACTTATGCCAAGTATTTATTTGATTGATTAGCTCAATAACTGTTTTTTGGCTCGTTTTTCGTCGATTTCGACATTTAGTCGAGCTTAGTCGACTTCAGAATAATGTGTCAACATTGCGTGTTGCAGCCTGTGAACATGAATATTTTCGTTTGTTTGACCATAACACTTGTCTTCATTGTTTTTAATCCTTGAATGACAATATATTCATTGGTCTCAGAGTCCTAAACTTAAGGAAGATGGATGACATTGGGACAGATATCAAAATTTTGTTCAGATATCAAAATTTATGGACATATATATAGTCACAGTGACTAAGTCACTCATAGCACCCTCATTGTTTCTTCCTTAATCTGGCCCACTAGTCACAAATGGGGCCTGTTCTTATGACCTGGCTAGGCAGGAGACAACATTTGCCAGTATTGCTGATATACTAACCTGCTACTATCTGGCTAAGCACAAGGTATCTGTTGCCAGAATCGCAACTATGCAAGCCAAGAAATTCACCATTTACAGTAAACATTCTATCCCACAACCAGGCAACATGAACTTGCCCCATGCTGCCTAGCCCAGATCATATCAACAGACCCTTAGCAGATCCTGAAACTACAATTGGAACATTTTAGGCCATAATCTTGTAGAATCAACCAGGTATTGTCAGTAGTATAATATCACACTGGGCAAGCTGGTCTTGCCCATTTATATGGGCTAAATCATACACCTGCCCATGGTAAGATACTGCCTCGTATATTAATTTTATATATGTTTGAGATTGCATTCACATGACACAGCCTGGTTGAATTTATTGGCCCAGCATCTGCTTGAGCAAGTTGATATCCTGCATTGGGAGTCTCACACTAATAAAGGTCGTAAGCTGGCAAACCAGCTGACTCGACTAAAAATCATGTTATAATACACAATTTGGCCCAAGTAAGGGACCGTTCATTAATTATACGTCAGGGTGGGCTGGAGGAAAAAGAGCAGAAACGGTGCAAGTTTTCCATGACCCCCCCCCCCCATTAAGGTGTTAATTTTTTCATGCCCCTCCTTCTAACCGACATTTTTTTTCACAGCCCCCCTATTTATTTTCACCAAGTCGTACAAATTTTTCCCAAAAATGTTGTCACATTGGCAAAAGCATAGTCTAAAGCAACGCTTCCAATTTCTTCACCACAAACATAACAAAAGCTTTAAAACTGTTAAAATTGCAAACCATTTCATCAAATGGTTTTGGTTGTGAAGGCTTAATATTTGAAACTGGTCAACCTAAAATATTAATAATTACCACAAATAATTTTGGCAACCCTTGCCACCCCCCTTTCATGCTGAAAACACTTTAAAGGCCCCCCCTTCTAACCATAAAATGTTTTGGCAACCCCCCTAATTTTCCTCCAGCCCCCCCCTGGTCCTTAATTAATGAACGGTCCCTAAGTAAAAAATTGATTAATATAAGCCTTCTGAAGCTGTTGTCATTAACAAATTAACCAGCATTTCACAAAAATTTCTTGACAATAGTTGCCAGGTTAGCCTGGCTCCTGTGAGGCAAATGACAAACTAGTCCTGAAAAGAAAATCCAGCCATGTTTGCTGGGCTAGCATGGCCCATTTTGACAGCCCTTAACAGGGAGAGCTTATTTTTGGAAGGGAGATCTGATTTTTGGAAGGGAGGCCTATTTGTGAGGTTACTGGGGGCTTAATATTGGATTGCATTATTATATAATAGGTGTAAAATATTCATTTGTGCACAGGTATTCTGGTAATGCACAAATTTATGGACTAAAATGTTTCAATTATAGTCTCGGGATCTATTGGGGACCTGTTTATATGATCTAGGCTATCCAGAACACATGCTTGAAGCCTATCATGTTGCCTGTTTGGGATACAGTGTTTATTGTATATGGTGAATTTCTTGGCTTACATATAGCCAGGATTCTGGCAATGGAAACCTCACACTTAGCCAGGCCGATAGTAGCAGGATAGGATATACTGGCCAATGTCGTCTCCCACCTTAGGCCATCTAGCCAGGTAATATGAACAGGGCCCAATTGACTAGTGAGACAGATGAAGTAAAAACAATGAAGTTCATATATGTCCATAAATTTTGATACCTGAACATGCAGCAACATTGAACAAAATCATTCTGTCCCAATGTCATCCATCTTCCTTAAGTTTATAGGACTCTGAGGCCAATGAATATATTGTCAATCAAGGATTAAAACCAATGAAGACAAGTGTTATTGTGAAACAAATTAAAATATTCATGTCCACAGGCTGCAACACGCAATGTTGACACATTATCCTGAAGTCAACAAAATGTGGAAATCGACGAAAAACGAGCCAAGAAACAGTTATTGAGCTAATCAATCAAATAAATACCTGGCATAAGTTTGAAGGTCCATAGTCCAAATATTTGATGAGTTTCTTTAGCTCATTTATACCAACAAGTTTTAAAAATTCCCTGTATTAGATATTCGCCATATTGATCGCCACGCTGTTTAGCAATAATTCGACATGTCAACTTGTCCCGGCCCGGAAGTGTCCTGTTTACTTGTTACACAGGATATTAATAAGTTAAATGTCAAAATATGAAGATAAAAGTATCTTTTAAAAAACAAACCTCTCAAACCTCGATTTGAAAGGCTTTTAAAAACGCTAATCCGTTTGGAACCTACAGATTCGAGGGGTGGTATTTAAGCTTGCGCAAGGCAAAGTTTGAAGACCCATATCTTCGCAATCACGCAATTGATCAAAAATCGCCACGAGGAAGTTGAGGAGAATTCTTTTAAGAACAACATATATGAATTTCATGGCAAAAAACCAAAAACCGCTTGCAGAAAAGCTCTGAAGTAACCCCATATGTTTGTTTACAAATTTCATGTGATGAAGCGTTTTACGCATTCTGATTGGCTTAGGGCAAAAATGTAAACAAAAGCGCTGATTGGTCGAGAACGAAATTCCCCCTTGTTTACAGTACATCATACTAGAGTAGCTCTCTATAAGCATGTTTTAATACCTGGTAAAGTGTCATGTCTATCATCTTGATTGGTATTTTCCTCCACCAAGAATGTAATTTCAAATTCAATACCACGACAACTGCCATGCACATGATGTTTTCTAATACATATATCCCCCTCTTCTTGTTCAACTGTCAAAGAAATATCATGAATACACAATCCTGTAAACCTTTCCAAACGTTTAGTGTCTAATTCTCCATCTTCATTCAGTTTCCCTTTAATATCAAGTCCTTCGAGTGACGCCTGTTTATCCTTTGAAAGTTTATTTATTAATTTAGCAAGAATGTCGTTCAAATGAACTGTGGAAAATGACTGTTTGTCTTCCTTTAAATTTGCTTCCAACTTGGATATTTCAGCCTCTAGTTTCCTGATTTCTGCTCGATACCAAGGTTTAGTGTAGGTAATGTTTGAACACAGATCATCGTTCCATCGATCACAGTTTAACTTGTGTTTACCACTCGTTTGAAATGCTGTGGAACTTGAAGAAACAACATTGCCTTCCATTTTCCATCACAACAAACAAATCAAATCTCTTCCCGCCAGAAAATACACCTATATAATATCCACTTTTATACAGTTTTATCCCTTCAATACCCTAAATATCCATACCACAAGGGGACTATCTCCGGGTATAAATAGCGGGTAGAATATGATCTCCTGTTGCCACACAACTGCCACACTGATGTCAATAATGAAACACTATTAAACACTAGTAAATCTTTAATTATCAATGTCTTTAGTTAATTTTGATTATTGTGAAGCCATAGTTTGAAGATCAGCTATTATTTAAATCTATTTTGCCACACACACTATTAATAAACTTTGTCGGATATAAAGTCGTCCATGGAATATTCCGGGGGCTATTTTCGCCGGGTGACTGCTTCAGTGCTCAGTCACAGAATAGGAAGTTATACCAGAAGCGTAACTCTAGTCGTTTCCCTTATTGTTTGAGGTCCACGAAAATTTTTAACTCGCTCACGTCAGGCCACGCCATCCTGGCTAGTACAGCCGGAAGTTTTTATCAGGATTTGGTAGGTACAAAGTGCCGGTTGTACTAGCCAGGATGGCGTGATTGATGACGAATCGCTTGTAAAAACGCGGACAAATATTTGCTCGAGTTACGCTTCTGGTATAACTTCCTATTCTGTGGCTCAGTGAACTAGCTGGTGAACTTTGCTCCCAATCACAAATCAATTTGGTTTGGGTTTATTGCTCGCTTTCACAACTATGCTCAACACAGGGTTAGTTATTCTTTATTATTTTATATTTAAAAATGAATTGAATTGATGTCTTTTCATCTTTTGTATATTTATTGTAGATAACTGTACTAAAAATAAATAATTGCCATCCTATATTTCTAAGTTTCTATTAACCATACCAGGTAGCCACGTACCCAGGTACTTTGGTTTGCTATACAGTCATAAGAGGACTGCGCAGGATGACATGCATGGGAAGATATGGAAAGCTGTCACTGTGGAAGCTGGTCAACTCGGCCCACTGACCAACTTGGTCCATACCATCTTGGCCCAATTGTTAACTACTGTTTGACATATATAAAGCTAATATTTTACAAAAGATATAGCACCAAACCAATACAGCCATTTGCAGTTGCATTAGGCCAATGAAAATTGATATCATGTTTCTTGTCCCCGCCCGCATGGGATTTATCTGCCGCACGAAAATTTTTTATTATTCATTTTTGAAAAATAGGCTTAAAAAACACCAAATTCATCTCCAGATCAAAGTCTTATTGCTGGATTCCTCAAGCGCAACTAAAATTGTATCTTTCTAAAGATATTACTCGCCAGAATGCCTCTATTTCATGTCAGCCCTGGTATGTGTAGAAATATACTGTAGTCTGTAGACTGTAGTGTAGGACGTATTAAATTAAAAAGAATTATACACCAATTTTTAATACTTCAGATTTTTATGGGGGTTTTTGCTGGGTCAAGGAAATTATTGACAAGCAGAATTCAAATACAAAAAATAATGAAAAATGAAAAATGAAAAAATCCCGCTCCAAATTTTTGAAAATTGTGGACGAGAAACATGATATCAATTTTCATTGGCCTTAGGTGTACAGATGAGTAAAGTTTGAGAACATCCAGTTTGACTTAAATAATTAAAGAATTTATCGAAGTTTCAAATATTTCTCAATCTGTCCGTTTTGATACTACAGTAACTATAAATTACTGACCATTCAAATCTCTCTCAAAATTTGCAAAGATAGAATGCAGTCATGGCTCCTAGCTTGTTTAATGGTTAGATTAGTCAGTTTACAAGTGGGCGGAGTTGGTCCTTGAACGGTGGACCTAGTTGGTTAGTGGGCCGAGTTAACTGTAAAGCTGTCACTGTGTACCAGCTACAGAGATGGCCAGGGAGGATAAATTGTCATTTTATAATAAAAAGCCCAACACCCACAATGCCTTTGGGGTAGTATACTTAATATGATCATTTTTTGGAATGTATTATAATATGAACCCATAGGCAAATACGTCTAGCTAAATGGTTAAATTTAATGTTAATGTCAATTTATGAATATTGATCTACTGTCAGTAGTTAATAGGTAGACAATGATTTTACCCAGATTAAGAGTTACCAGATATTTATTATTTCAAAACAATAATTATACTTTTATGCAAATAACTTAGCTGGTGGTACCTTGTACGCAAATATGAGGGGCCAGAGTGTACCGGTTTTGCGGGATGCGTCTAAAATTCAAGTGGGATTCTGGATTTTAAGAGAAATATTGGCGGGAAGCAGGATTTTATTCCATCGCGGGAAGTGAGATTAATAAAAATACCATGGCGATATGCAGGAAGTAACCCACAATTAGCGGGATAAATCAACAAAACTTGTAGCCGTACGTTAGCTGATCTGTTGTCATTTGTTTGTGTGCTCGAGATTTGCTGTTTTCAAGGATGATATCAACATTTGTCCCCCATCAATCCCCATTTACACGTATGATTGCTGCTTTCATAAGAGTCGCGATTCAGAGTAGGGGTGCACCGGATTTCAAATCCGGCCGGAATTCCGGCCGGATTTAACGAAGTTTCCGGCTTCCGGCCGGATTCGGAGAAAATCCGGCCGGATTTAAATTTCTGTTTTCACCTCAAAAAATTCACCAAGAATGGGGTAAGCCATCAATTTGGTAGCTTTAAAGTTTAAAAAACACTTATATTATTATAAAATATTAAGTTATTAACAAAAAGATATTTAAAAAAGGTTTAAACACAATAAAAAATCTAAACTGACACTAACTAAAAATAGTAAAAAACATAAACCGCCATTTGAATACTGAATTATCACAATTTATCCCCAATTGTCCCCATTACCGGTTTATCTCAAATCCGGCAAATCCGGCCGGAATTTTTGTCCAAATCCGGTAAATCCGGTTCCGGCCGGATTTGAAAATTCTAAATCCGGTGCACCCCTAATTCAGAGTCGAGCTTTATTATTTTAAACTTGTTGTGTTGTATTCTAGTGTATTCAAATTGTATTTTATGTCGTTACCATGTTCTTTAAATCATAACATGTTGAACAGTGTTAGAAAAAAAGTCTGGAGCGGGAAATTGGGATGAGGCATGGCGGGATAACAGGATTTGAAGTGAAAATCGGTCGGGATTTCGGAACCCGGTACAGGTCCCTCAATGTGCACCTAGCTAGCACACTGTATCAAGGACAGTATGTCATCTACAGCATCAAAGAAAATGGCTTTAGATCTGCTATACTGGTTGTGCAGTCAAACTGGATGTTCTCTTGCGAGTAACATTGCAATATTGTGAGTCTTTGCGATGCAATGTTGCAATATTGATTTGCAAATTGCAACCGTTTTTGTCAAGTTGCCACCTAAAACCTGCAATATTTTTATTTGGAAGTTTTCATTGCCAAACAAATTGTACAAGATTGATAAAGTTCTTGAAATAACGAGTGTTAATTATTATGCATTTTATCCTAATTATAATCATTCAAATGATTTTTAAGAGAACATACTGTAGTATTACTAAATCATGTTTTTCAGTGGACTATCTTAAGTTCAGATGATGCAATGTGGCATAACTCCACTGAGATAATGACAGAATTAGTGTTAGGTTTTGTAGTCTCATGCAATAATGAATCACTCATAATGGACTCTCTGCCGACATGCATTTATGGAAGGGAAACTAAAATCTCATTTGGAATATCCTAACCTTTATGTAGGCCTAATATGGTTTATTCATTTAAATCTGACTTTAAATCTGACTGATATAGAAAGCTTGCTGGAAAAACAATCTTCATCAGTGGAGCAAGCCGTGGTATTGGTAAAGCAATTGCTCTAAAAGCAGCTAAAGATGGAGCGAATATAGTGATTGCAGCAAAAACTGCTCAACCACATCCAAAACTTCCTGGAACTATATATACTGCTGCAAAAGAAGGTGATCAATTCTTCTCATTTCCTAGCATTGATGCAGTGTGTACTTGACCGAATAAAACAATGTCACACTGTGATTTTTCATGCAACTTGGGTCATATTGTAAATGCTTATTCCAGAAAATATCCACAGAGGAAATACATGTATGTGCTGGAGATCTGAAAGGGAGAAACCTAATGAGATGTACTTCTGATAATAGTAAATGCACAAGGACAAATCTGAAGAGGGGAGGGGGGTAGTTTCCCCTATCTGTTGGGGTGGTGTGGATTACCAGAAAAATGGCAACTTTGCAATTTAATATTTCTTGCAAATGCAGGTTTTACAAACGTTCTACAGTAAACTAAACTTGAAACTTGTACCTAAATTCATTTAGGCAATGTAGCTATATCTGCTTGGAGGTCCAGTAACTAAAGGTGAAAACAGGAGAAAACCAGAGTACGCCCTACTACCCACAGTGAAAATCTGCGTTTGTTTGAATGAAGCGCTCAAACTGGGCAACTGAGGAAAAATTATAGTCAGAAAACTAGATAGTACTGTACTGCACTGCACTGAAAATCAGTCACGATCGAGGGTGGTAAAAACCTACACTAACATTGCTTCCTCTTGATTCAAAGTTCAAACTGCAATACTCTTTATGATTTCAAGGCATATGGTGATAAATTGTTTGATCTTGAAAATAGGAATTGCTGTATTCATTAAATATTTTCGAATTTTGTTTATTTGTTTCGACATAAAGTCCCTTCAGTTACTTATTCAGCATTTTTTCAACTTCATATTTTCATTATACGTTTCCGGCAGGGTGTGATAATTTGTGTACTTACGTACTGGAGATACGCCAATAGTATTTTCTGGTACTTCTTTTTTCAGCCACGTAGAGTACTGCCTCGCCGAAGTCTGAGACCCACCGCGAAATGCAATTTTTTAAAATTCACAGTCACAACATGAATAGTCTCTTTTCACATTGTTTAGACTGTCCATAGATTCTTAGACTAGTACCCCAAAATTGACAGATACTGTATTGACCCATGTGAGAAAGGATAATTGACGACCATTTATGTCCAACTGCTCAATTGCACTCTTTTCTATTTCAAGAAACCACAGTCACAGATAGAACTTTTAATTGAACTGTCCATGGGTGTTTAAAACAGACATAAAACGCACTCCATGACTAGACTTGACTTTCTTTAATATTTTGTAATCTGTTGTGTAGTTGAAGAAGCAGGTGGACAGTGTTTGCCGTGTGTGGTTGATATCCGTGATGAGACAGCTGTGAAGAATGCAGTGGAGAATGCCGTGGAGAAATTTGGTGGAATTGATGTACTTGTGAATAATGCTAGTGCTATCAGTCTAACTGGAACTTTAGCTACACCAATGAAAAGGTTAATATGGCAGTGTTAATTTGTACATTTAAAACTTACACAAACACTGTTCCGTAGCTCTGCGGTTCAAACACGTTTCTATGTAAATTTTAATTCAAGCTTGCTTTCCATGTCACTAATTGCATTAAATATACCCCTCTATTACTCTAAATTACGTATATCTTTGCAGCTAAGTATCTATTAATTTTGTTGTAGATACGACTTAATGAATAATGTCAATGCAAGAGGAACGTTTTTATGGTAATTAGTTACAATGAATTTTACAATGAATTTTTTTACAATTTAGTTAATTTCATTGTTAATTTTTACGATTTTAAATAATAATTATTTCAGTTTTTTTCTGCTGCTACACTGTAAATTGAATTCAGCAAATCATGCATGCCTCATAACCACGAAAAACGGAGAATAGAATGACAGAAGCACACTTAAGAGTTTCCGAACACAAGTCACTGTATTATCTTGCTGTAATTGCTGGTTGTACCGAATGTTCATTAGTCAATAGCGGCAAAATTATATCAAACTTAATTAGTTGTTTAAAACCTAATGTTGTTTTTTGCAGTTCTCAAGCATGCATCCCGTATTTAAAGGTGGCAAAGAATCCACATATTCTAAACATTAGTCCACCACTCAACATGAAACCGATGTGGTTTAAAGGACATGTGGGTATGTTTTCGTTTTTTTCATAATATAGTTCCTTGAAGTTGCAGGACCCCACTGAAAAATACTTCGGTGATGTGGGTATCCTGGATGAAGATAATAATAATAATTATAATAATAATAATAATAATAATAATAAGTTATTTCTATTTTGTTTTTGTTTATTGTCCACTGCATTTTAAAATGTATAGTCTGAATTAGATACGTTAAAAAGCTTTGTAAAACTATTTTAATAGTGTAATGTAAAAAACTAGTTCGTCAGAAATGCATCCATGATCTCTTCCTATTTAGCGTACACAATGGCGAAGTATGGCATGTCAATGTGCGTTCTCGGCATGGCAGAAGAATTTAAAGAAGAAGGGATTGCAGTGAATGCGTTATGGCCTAAAACAGGTAAGCTAGTTTCGGAGAATGCTGATTTCACAAGCAGTTCTAGAAAATATCTTTTCTGGCAGCAAATCCAAAATAAAAATTTCCTGTGTGAGTCAAACCACAAATGTAAAAATTCCTGTATTTGTAGGTTTGAGAAAACGTACAAGGTGCCGCACATGCATGTGATAAACATCAAACTCGGCACAAGACAATCTCGACTTACGTACAAGGAAATTATATGTCATTCCAATATATAATATGACAAACTTCCAGGCGATGCCGGACATTTTCCTGCACAATACACAAGGGTCAATACATATTGAATAAATTTAGCAAAGGATTTTTCTTGTTTGCAATTCCAATTTCATCCATCATGGTGAAAATCGTTTCGTCTTTGAATCTGTGGCGGACACTTCACGAAATATTGGGGGGGGGGGGGATTTTCAACATGCATGCCAAAGGGGTTTTGGGGTCCGTTTAAGGCTCTAAGTTATGCGAATCTTTCAGAACATGGGTTACTTGATGAGACGAATAAAGAGTCCCGAGTTGTGCCATTTGACAAACATTAGATACTTTTTCTAAGATAATCAAAGCCAAATTCGCTATTTTGGGGGTACTTTTTTGAAAACGACATGAAAAATCTAAGCGATGTGAAAGTACTTTTTCAAATATTTAACTGTAAATTAACTTATATTGATTATACTCACAATTATAGTTATACAAATCCCTTATTCACTGCGTACAATCTCAGATTTGGAGAAGGCAGTACCCCAAAAATGGCGGCGTGAGAAAGGTTAATTAATCATGTCGATTAGCGTTGTTGTTTAATGTACATGCAGTTATAACTATCAATTCTGATTGTTTAAAATATTTTATCAGCAGAGCTATAAGGAATCCTAGGCACAGAACAAAACAGATTGTATAAAATGTGTATGTTGTGGCATCATTGGCATGCATTGTACAGAATCATATATTGCTGCTCTATTGTTTACTTTTATTATTTAATATGTGTTTTATTTAATAGTCATTATTTAATATGACAATTACGTTATATGGGTCTGATGCATGCTTGCCACTTGCTCCTAAACAATGTTTGTGAATTGTGATATTTGATACCAGACTTTTATAAGTCTTTCAAAACTATTCGGGGAGGGTCGGGTCGGCCGCCACTGCTTTGAATTGCTGGGGATTGGTTGCACAGCATGCTTGCATACTTAAGTTTTATTATGTTGCATGCACGTATGCATTGACAATAATTAGCCAATATTGAATGAGGTTGAGCATGATATGAAGAAGTATCAAGCCCGAAGTTTGTGTTATCACCGCAGCCGAAGACTGATATTGATAACACAAACTGAGTTCAATAATGTTTTATTATTTATTTAAAAGATGAAAAAGACATCGGCTCCTCTGGCTTCAATTCGTTGAAATAATGCAGTTCTTTTTCCCATTTGCAGAAATTCTTTCCTTTTTTCTTCCATAAGTTCGTTAAATTAAGATGTTTCAATACCTTTCGCGGCTATATTTTCCTTGATGTTTCTGCGAACACAGCCGAAGGCAGCGTCATATTGTTTTGGACGTGTTTCCACATTTTGTGTTTCCAAATTTCCACAGCATGACGTCATAACGTTAAATATGATATTTTCATATCAACATTATGACGTCACTCTGTTGTATATTATGTCAAAACTCCATATTTGGTCAGCTTTTGAGCTATTGGCTATTGGGAAATCAGAAACCATGAATCTTTTGAATAAACAATAATTATATTTGTTGTTTTGACTCTGTGGGTTTTTTCCCCTACTAACTGTCCAGAGAAAAAAGCCTTTTACGAAATACCAATAACAACTCCTTACGGTTTACTTGGTTGACGACGCTGAATTCCAAGTTTAAAGGTTTTTCTCAAAGATGCATGTTTCAATTTTCCCCTGTCTATTTAGCAATCGAGACAGCAGCAATGGAAATGCTTAGCGGTGGTGAGGCGTTAGACAATTGTCGTAAAGTAGAAATAATGAGTGATGCTGCTTATGTCGTGCTAACAAGAGATAGTAAGTCCAGGACTGGAGAGTTCTTAATTGATGAAGATGTTCTACGTGAAGTTGGAGTGAAAGATTTTGAACATTATGCATGTGTTCCAGGTAAACTATTTTATAAAATAACATGTATATAACGCGTGCTCTGATTGGTCGAAACCCGTGTTTGGATCAGGCCATCCAAACACGGAAATTTAAAGTGAAAGTTTTTTAAAGTGAAATTTTAATACGGAAAGTTGTTATTTTATAAAACAATTACTTTGCTCGAGTTAAGAAAAGCGCGCAAAATCACTCGCCTTCGGCTCGTGTTTCGCGCGCTTTTCTTAACTCTCGCAACATTCCCGCGTATTTGGATCAGTCCATCCAAACACGGAAACCATAAAGTAATTGGATAATAATTGACGTCTAGTGGGAGTACGAGTTGTTGGGAATTAAAATTTTACATATTGATTTTCATCCACTCATTAATTGAACACGTTCCAAATATGTTTCTTGCACTTCACTTGATTGAACTTGAATGCTGGGTTTGGTGGAACTCATGAACTTCCGGTTACAGCTTGACAACTGGCCTCTGTAGCTCAGTTGGTTAGAGCGCTGCACTGGAGTCGCAGGGCCGCAGCTTCGATTTCTGCCAGAGGACCTAGTGTTGCATTTTTCGCAACCGTTCCTGATTACATTGTATATCCACGTTCCAACTGTGCAACTCGTAATTGAACTGAAGTCGTACTGATTTTTAAAAGGTCGTATATTTTCAAGGTCACTTTTCAACGCGCCTGTCCCAAGTTCGTTGCAAACTTGCCAATTACGTTTCCAAGTTCGAACATTGGACGTGAACTTCGCAACAAAGTTTGCAAGTACATTTCAATGTTTGAACTTCTACTGTAAACAAATGTTCATAGTTCAAGTTGAAATTAACAATTCAATGGAAAGTTCTTAGTCCTGTGGTCTACCAAGAAGGTTTGTATTTCATTGAATTGGTTATGATTATTGAGTATGCACATTTGTTTGCAAACGAAGTTCAAACATTAGAATGTACTTGCGAACTTTGTTGCGAAGTTCGCTCCCAATTTCCGAACTTGGAAACGTAATTGGCAAGTTCGCAACGAACTTGAGACCCGCGCGTTGAAAACTTGAAATCGACAATAACATTAATTCCAAGGGCTCCTTAACAGTTTAACGTAATATAGAATCATTTAGCATACAACATGCAGCAATCACGTTCTCCCACTTTACCGCTTTTCTAATTAACACAAGAATGCATCTTGCAGTTGAATTGCAGCCCAAGGCGCAAAGCATTCATTTGAAGTATTTGCGAAAGGGGCGAATACATTGAGCAATGAGTATTTTGTTCCATAGGAGCTGATTTACTACCAGATTTCTTCTTGGATTCTGAAGACATAAGTGTGGAAGATATTGATAAGTTCAAACAGAAGAAAGCAGTGAAACAAGCAAGCAGTGAAGGGGATGAATTATCTTCGTTGTTCGGAACAATTAAAGGACTTTGCAGTGAAGATGCTGTTTCCAATACTCAAGCTATCTACCAGTTTAATGTCACCGAACATGGAGCATGGTTCTTGGATCTTAAGACTGGTTCTGGTAATATATACTTTCTAATATAAATTGATAGAAGATATATAATTTTATAATATGAATAATTTATGAACTTTTTTAATCTAAACAACTAATAAAGTAGAAGAAGTATGAAGACCTGGAGCAACATAATTATTGCGGCCCACTTCGCATTGAGAATTCAATTCTTGAAACCTTAACCGCTCAAATTTAATGGTAATTTGCTTGTTTACTTCTTAATCTACTAGGCTTTCATGTTGAGGTGAACCTCGTTACCACATTCTTTTCGCGAGGGGGGGGGGGGGCAGTTGCCCTTCTCCTGTGTCCGCTGGCGCCACTGATCCAGATTAATTGCATTGTAAAATTTTCAAATGGTGGTGAATGACAACAGGAAACGGTTATACTATATATACTGTATACAGTATAATAGTTTCACTTACCTCAAGTGTAGTTTCACCCACGCGATCATATACCGCGCAAAATATGCTAAACTTTGGAACGCTGTCGACTAGATTTAATCTTTACGCTGCAAATTAATACTATTAACTTTAAATTTCCTCACTTGTACATTCTTACTTTCAAATTTCCTCACTTGTACATTTCAACACTTGTACATTCTTATTAGTCGCTGGGCAGAGCCCGCAGCGACTCTAGGTTTCGGCACGCATTTGTGTCGGATCTTGGATCGTTAGCCACAAAATGACAATTACGTCATTAATAAAAAATAAAATTACGTCATTACTATTCGTCGCTGAATTAAAGATGGCCGTTTACTACGAGCGAATGGTATCATCGATTTTGTACATATTTTTTTTATTTTTCCGATGAACCTTAAAAGTTTTCCGATGAAACAGACTTTATAGAGCGAAAGTCATTTTATGTGAGTAAATTTGGAAGGCTACAAGCTTGAAATAGAGGACAAAAGTTCACAATTTTCAATTTTACAAAGTTGGAACGGGCCGCAACCTTTGTAAATCGCAACAATATAAATATTCGCAAACTGCTGTTTATTTGGGTGCTTTGTTTACGGCTGTTGATGCAAATAATCCTGTCAAAAGAACATGGTGTAGCCTAACAAGACCGAAATACAACCACAGTGGTCACCATTCATCACTACTTGTGTGAAATTTAAACTTTGCCGCTAGGTGTCAGGCTTTTAAATCTGTAATATTTCAGTCATTTTATGATCAATGTATTGTGTTTCTAACGCCGAACGGGAAAATGTTGGAGCCACAGTAATAGACTCTTTCAAGGTCAAGATGCCATAATGAAACACAAAGTGTAAGGGCTGCAAACACAATGGAAATTCCTACTAGTATTAAAATTTGCAAGGTTGTGTAAACACAATGGGGTGGGGGTGGGGCTATTGCCGATATTTTTTAGCCCTGGGGTGAGGATTTTGACATTTTCTATCATGGGGGATTTGGTAGATTTGCTGGGAAACTGATATTTAATTTGATTGCAAATGGCTTGTGGACATGCATAGCCATTTTCTTCCCAGAAATGGCTAATACCTCGGGGAAGGGGGGGGGCACTGCTGGAATTGACTGATACATAATTAACAATCGCCATTTTGATTGGTTGTTATTTTTGTGCATCCCAATCACTGTCCACTTTTTATTGACTTCAGTAACAGGCTTACCCTGCGAGCAAAGTCCTCATGTATTTCTTCTCAGCACGAGAGAGACTCTGCAGAACTTGTATATATTCTTTGTGGAGCCGACAATCCAAAAACTTATAATTATGAGTAATTTCAGGTTTGATACCAGTTTTATAACCGGTTTTGATCCGAACCGGAAACTACTTATTAAATCTTCTTCCGGGAAATAGGCAGTTGCTTAGCAACCTTCACACATGCTCAAATGAATTTATACACAAGTTCTGCAGAGTCTCTCTCGCTTCTCCGTGCCGTGCCGAGAAGAAATCCGAGAGGACTTTGCTCACAGGGTATAACAGGCTCTATTTCAAGCATCGAGCCTGACACGCAAGCTACCTTGAAAGGGCCTATTTGGCAACTTCTGTTGTGGTTACCCAGCCTGAGGCAAAAGTAATAAATTATGAATTGTTATAAATGTTCTGTGAAGTGCACATATTTTTCCTGCAGTTAGGGACCAGTCCTTATTTATAGAAGAGGGAGGGGAGGGGGCAAAAGGTGGGGCCATGACCCCATGAGTATAAATAATTTACTAGAAGGGGGGGGGGGGCATTAAATTTTTTGAGAAAATCAGTTGAAGGGTCAAAATGTGGAGTTGCAATAAATTTGTTTAAGCCTGGTTTCCAGTGTCCTCGAAGTTGGGCTAAGCCAGATAAATCCAATAAATGATATCAACCTCGTTCCCAGGGCTTCTGCGCTTATACACTGCTCTCAGAAGAGAGAGCAATAAGCGCAGAAGCCCTGCGCAGAAGCCCTGCGCAGAAGACCTTATTTTAATAGCCCCAGCGACTAAACGCTCAACAGAGCGTCTTGTTTATGTATATGAAAATAAACTTTCATGCAATAAATCCATACTTGCGCTAAAACCTCAAGGGATCGTCAACTTGAATAATTTTGATTCAATCACCTGACAATCCCTTCCTCGCTGTGAAGACCTGGTATCGAGCGCTCTCTAACATTTCGTGAACTAAAACTCCCTTACTATATACTGCAGTATACATCGTGTGTTGCGTATATACTATGGAGTTCGTTAAATATTTCAAGTGACTTTGACTTACTGCGCTGTAGCTTAGCATTTTTTATATATTTTGCAGGTGATGCGGGTCAGGGCGAACCTCCAACAGCCGCAGATGTAACATTCTCTCTGGACAAAGAAAACTTTGTGGCGATGTTTACTGGAAAACTTAAACCAACAGCCGCGTTTATGAAAGGAAAACTGAAAATAAAAGGAGACATGTTGAAAGCTATGAAGCTCGAAAGTTTAATGAATAAGTCAAAGTTATAGTGGCTTTACAATGTTCTGTAAGTGATACTGACGAATGTATAATCATCGTTTTTTCCTTTTCATATTATAACAGTGTTTGAATTGTTGCTGGACCAGAATGTTGAATGGTTGCCAGACCATACCATTGCCTCTTGGTAAGAGCGGGCGAAAATCACAGCATATTAGCCTTTCTGATGCCGTGTGGGCAGGACTTGTTCGCCAGTGGCAAACCAAACAACAACAAAGGAGAACAACAAGTAAAGGAATGATGTGGTGAAGTAAATAGCACTTGTGAACAATATAGTACTGGGTTTCTACTCCACTAAATTCACTCCTTTGCTTGTTGCCGTCTATTTCTCCCATGCGGTTTGCCACCTAAAAATGGCGAGCAAGTCCCGGCCGCATGGCGTGAGAAAGGCTACTTACTTTTTGAGACTTCACTTATATTGAGACTATATAGGGTCATACTTTTTGGATGTTGCTTGCAATGTACAAGACCAATACCGTTTCACCCTAGTCAATATACGGTATTGAACTACAGCACTCATGTTTGGAATACGTCCTCTGGGAAGTAATAAATATTAAGTGTTAGTTTCATCACGGCCTAATTATGCACCAAACCGTTTTCACAATGTTGTGGCAGTATAGGGGATATGCATGAATTACTTCCGATATAGTTCTTACAAATGGATAATGTTAGTGCATGGCGGACACTTCGCGAAATATTGGGAGGGGGCGAATTTAGGTTGTCAAAATATGACCATCGTTTTTGTTGCTGGACTGAAATCTTACAGGGGTGGCCAATGACCCAATCTCGTAACCAGAGCATGCCCGTTCGCAGGTTAGGGTTGGTCAACCCAAACCTGCGAACGGGTATGCTCTGGGAACGAGATTGCCAATGGCCATTAAAAAGTTGCCCCCCATAAAAAAATGGTACATCCTGTTCTTTATCAGCATAAGTAAAGAACGTCTTAACAAAAATTATGTTTTTGAACTTACTTGTTTTGTTAGTGTGAATAAATATTGTCAAGGATTAGAAAAATAGATACGTTTAGAGAGTTTTTACTCAAAAATTTAAGACGGCAGGCTTGAATCAGAAATGCGCCAAAATTATAAATTCTTCGCGCTACAATGTTTTGATAATCCGAACTTGTCACAAAAGTGGAATGGCATATAGCTCCAGTGGCTAATATCATTATTTCATGTGCGCAGTCGTATTTTCAGGATACTGAATGGCTAGAATGTAGTTCAGTAGATTAAGTATTTTTATAATAACGAAGGTGCGCTCCCCAAGCCACTATTACTAAGCTATGATATACTGCTATATATAATATTGTAATCTTTCAATAAACCGTTTCCACACAACGCTGTTTTTTCTTGGCTACCTGCATGTGTTGTAAGCCTACGGTCACTAAAAGTTCTATCACATACACATGTGAAACTTACAAGAATTTGCTGCATCACATCAGTCAGTACTATCCGATTCATTCAAACCTGTGTGCGGTTCATTTCTGGATGACCATGCAATACAAGTAAAATTTCAAGTAAAAATTCTCTAAACGTATCTATTTTTTAAATCCTTGACATGAAATCACAATTTTATTTACACGTACACAAGACTAAACAAGTAAGTTCAAAAACATAACTTTTGTTAATTTAAGATTTCTTTACTTATGGTGACAAAGAAATGGATATACCATTTTTTATAGGGGCTACTTTTTTATGGCCACCCTCTGTAGTTCTTTAAACTTTTTTCCTTAAGCTTAATATGTAACCTACCATGCTTTTGGCTCAAGGTAGGCTGCACATGGTTTATAACTACAAAGGCCTGCAAAGTGTATGCTTAAAGTACTTATAAACTCGAAATGGGGTTTTGACGATTCGAATAGAGGATATTCTATCTACCTACTTTTAGGTCTGGATCTGAGGAGCACATGCATCCTCTACAATAAACGTAATATAAATTATATTGAGAAATACGACATCTTGACAGTTTTTTTTTGCATAACGTCGTATACTACAACAATTATATCTATATCATTAATAAAATTCCGGTTTTATTGTAAGGTGAAGTGAAATATTTCCCTAGAATCCAGTCCCCACGTAGACGCAACTTTTTTACAAACAGTGACTTTGAGCTGTTGTACCTCATGCAAAAACTCCAAAACTAAAAACCGAGATAAAAAAATGGAGATAGAACTTATTACAATCTTGAAGGGTCTGTGCCAGTGTAGGTATAGTGCCAGTAATAAGAAAGATTCTCCTTGTATTTTTCAGGTAGTTTTATCCCTGTCAATCTGACAGAACTTATTAACTAAATTCTTATGCTCTATTCGAATCACTAAGAACCCTATTTGGGTTTGTAACCACTTCAATATTTGCTATTACAATATAGCTCCATTTTAATATCTTCAGTGCAGGTTCTAACTACATAAAACGTATAGAAAATGGCTTGAAGCGTCGACGTTTTTTCAGTTAGAACTTTCAACCGCGACTTACTGAGCAACATTTTGCATGAAGAGCAGTAGAAGCTTTACTGCAGTCGAGTGTGTAAAATTCAGCATCAAGTGCTGCACTCGATATTGTTAAAAAGACAAGGACTTTTGAAGTTGTGAATATGAGAACAGTGGTGCTATATAACATGAACATTTCAAGTCAGAACTTAATATGCACTTGAAATACAATTCAGACAAAGTCGCGTTTCTATGGTTACCAATATTGTTCGTCACGCCACTCTATTTCCAATTTTATTGCATGCATGAAATCATGCACTCAAAAGTTAAGGAAAATATTTTTAAACTTAGATTTGGCAGCTTCTGAGCAATTCCCTTATATAGATGAAATTATTTAAAACATACAGCTTTGGCTCGATGAAATTTATACGGCGGAAATTTATCTGCCATAGACCATTTGCCGAATTGCTGGGACTTACCGGTATATAGCTACACATACTACAGAATCTCAAAAAGTTGGTAGCGATGACAACAGAGTTATTTTATAGTTACAGGGTGTATAAAAAACCTGGAGGAAGGTGAAATACAATGTTTTTAGAATGCGCATGATTCAGAAGTCAGAACTAAGGCAGCGTTTACACTGTACCGTTTTCGTAGCGTTCTCGTATTGTTCGAGAGAACTAGACTATTGTCTTGCGTTCCCTTGAGGATTAAGAACAATACGAGAACGCTACGAAAACGGTACAGTGTAAACGCTGCCTAAATTATCCCAAGCGTGCACTGATATTAATTAGTTTTCTGCATTACAAATAACTTTGTGTTATTCTAATTTCTATAATTAGAATGTGTTTTCAAATCCCAGGAGCAAAATAAGTAGCACAGCAGAATTATGAAAATTATCGTGTTTGCAGGTTTAAGGTTGTCCCCAAGCAAAGCGGAAAAGTCGAATACGAGCGCGAAAGGCTTGCTGGGAATCGCTAAAAAGTTAATGAATTTTTAAGCGATTCCTAGCAACCTTTCGCGCTCGTATTCGACTTTTCCACTTTGCTCGGAGACAACTTTAATTGAAATAGCTGTATATATAATTTAGTAGTTGAAATGCTATCGTCCAATTTTAAAGTTTTGTCGGCAAATACGATACCACACACCCCTAGCTTGCTTAAGCCTCTTCGCGACGGCCCTGGTTCTCCTGGCAGACTCTTAGCCGAACGAGGTGAACATAAAGTGTATTGTTAATTTAAGGATTGTTTACATTATCCCACTTTCCCGAGATGAGAGGCGGGATAATTTTGATGTATTGAAATAATATTGGAACAACTACGAGATCTTCTCCCCCACATTTCAGTTCCTTTAACCGGTGTTCGTTTAAGTCTAGCGACTTATATCAATACATCAAAATCATACCGCCTTCCATCCCCCTGGGTGAACCAGATTTCTACTAAACAAGAAGCATGCGCAACCAACCAACCAGGATGTTTACGTAAAACAAGTTTATCATCAATTAAGAACTATATATTTTGCGTTAGTATAAGACATATATTCTCAAACGTCTTTGTGCTTTAGGAAAGTGCAAAAATAATTCACCCCTAAATCTAAATGAAGGCAATGTTTTCCATCAAAAACAAATTCAGTGCTTTCGCAATAGGTATAAGCTATATCTGATTGTATCTCCGACTTATTGATATTATACTTTATAGAATCATACGATAAATGTGACGTTGTTGCGCTATAGTACTCCATCGCTATGTTGCCCTTCGTACGTTTCTTTTCCATTTATGGGTGTGAAATGTTATTATTCATAGTCATAATATCATTATATAACCAATGATTTGTTCTTGAATATTACTATTTAACAATGGGCTTTCTCAATGCTGTTTCTCTGTTGGTAGTGTTTTCCCTCGGTTTTTTAATTCAGACCGAGGCAGTTCCTTCTAATAGAGAAAATATCACAGCTCATGGTAACATAACGCGTAGTCATGTATCGAGCAATGTTACTGGAGGAAGCAAAAACCACACAGTCATCCCTCAAAGTGGGAATACTACAAAGGAAATCCAAAATCATACAAACTCCAATACTGAATCTCGTATTCAACATACACTCAACAAAACAGCTCTTTCTGGACAAGAGAACTATGACGAAACTTATAAAAGTATTTTGCAAACGTTACAACTGAAACATGGAATGAAAATGCAAGATCTAAATGTTCTGCTTCAGAAACTGGGAATGCACGACTGTTCAAGACAGACTAACCACAAGGTAATAACAATATAAAATTTCTTTGTGCATATATATTTTATAATACTTCAAGTCGATAATCGCTTTTTAAAGCGTAATTAAATTTAATAAGTCTGGAGTAACTACTTTCATTTTTTAATCATCTTTCATTTTTATAAAACGCTTATTTTTTCATGTGGGCGTGATTGTTTGTCTTGCTTTTCAAACGCATTTTAATGCATCTGAGAACGCGTGGACAACACACACTTTCTGAATTTGCCTGTCGGCATTGCAGGCTTTCTTGCCATCCTACTTTTCCTACTTTTTCCTACTTTTCTTCAACTTTCCTATTTTTTATTAAAAATTGCTTGATTTTCCTACTTTTTCCTATTTTTTCTCATAAAATCCTACTTTTTTAAGACAGCTTGGGGAATCAATATGTTATAGTTCTCGTAATTAGATCTATAGGACTCGTAATTTTTATTCCCTGTTTGTGTCCCAGATGATAAGATCTCGAGAAGAGGAGTACATTTTCCGAGTATAAAATTCCATAACATCTCTAGAATCATAATAAATTAATTAAGACAATAAATTAATGAAGACTCCGAAAGTGCCATTTCCGACGATCTAGAGATTCCAAATATTCAACAGCCCAGTGTGGATTGGTGTATGGTGCAGCCAAATACATGCACTCACACGCATAATGCATTTGAATTGTGTTGCTGCAGGGCAGATGCCTTGGCTTTTATACTGATGCAATTTAAAAGTTTTGAGAAAAAATCCTGCATAGATGAATGAGTACAAAAAAATGTTGAGCACCAAAAATTCACACAACTTCCCCATCAGATGTCTAATTGTCCACCCCTTATATTTCTCTAAGGTACACGTGCCAATGTTGTCCATTTTTTTGTTATTTGCATCTCAAAAACTCCTACTTTTGCCCTACTTTTCTACACATTTTCCTACTTTATTCCTACTTTTCCTAAAATCGCAGTCCTACTTTTATCCTACTTTTCTACACAAGGATGCCAGAAAGCCTGGCACTGTTTAAAACTCCATTCTATTTAATTGATATGATCTTAGTTATAGTTTCTCATCATTGCCAACCTCGAACCATTGTCTTGTGTGGGGTCGATCAAATTTGCGATGTGCCTGCAGCCATTCAGAAATTTGCTAGATATAGCCCGACAATCGCAATATATGATGATGTCACAACACAGGGATTTAGGCAAGAACCCCGTGACGGTTGTGACAACATGCGAATGTATTGAATTCTCGAATTATCTCACTGCTATAAACTCTCGCACACCTAACTTCCTTCCCCTTGCTATATCAAATTCCATTCACCTACTCTTGCTTTAAACTGTTAAAGCTGGTAAGGAACTGATGCTCTTTTCATAATCCTTTCTTCTCAATACACGTCAACATACTTATCACTGCACACCTTTGGCTTTGTGTCACAGTCAGAGAACCACCTTGAATGGGTGGCCTCACAGCCTCCCGGAACCATTGGCTCAGGGGACACGTTTTCGTGAAAACAAGCAAATATGCTTCGTTCTTTATTTTAGCAACATGTCGACTGACTAGCTTCTGACCCCCTTAAGTTGTTCTTCCCGCAACTCATTTTGCTTGTGATTTGCACATGAATCACTAATTAATCGATCTTTTGATCTCATCTGATGTCCTGTCAATCAATATTTAAATACAATGAGTAATTTCAAAACATGACCGCAAGGTCCATATACATGTTCGCCAGTTTCATTTCTCCCAAGTTTACAACCTTCAAGTTCTTACAATGTTGGCACTCACAATTTGGTAACAGGTTTTGGGTTGTAATAATAATAACACTTTATTTATTGAGGATAAACAGATAAACTTTTTTCCAATCTTCCGGATCGATGAATCGAAGGCGAAACAATCGCGACTCAAGTATTCATTTATTTTAAATATTAGAAATATTACGAGCACTGTTTTTTAATTTATACATGTTTTTGGTATTCATTATTTTTTGTTTCTTTTCACCACAAGTTCGTTGAGTTGAAGAACAACCTCGCAACAAATCTATACTATAGCGCCCGCTGGATTTGCACGTTTTGCATGCGAGCTACATGCATATACTATTACGAATAAAACGGGGAAAGAAACATGGAAGAACATGCACAGTGAACTGCATGGGGTAGTACTTGTGCTGGGTACTTCACAGACCCAATTCACTTCTATTGGTGAACACTGCCTACTCAAAACGTCACCGAATTAACGTGCATCATTACATTCCCGACTCCATTTCGATATGAATGTTTGTTTATAACAACCGTTTAGGGAACATTAATGTTGGATATTGTATCGCTAAATTCTACCCACTTGTACAATATTTATGAGTACCAATGGCAATACTCTACATGACCAAGTTTCTGCACTGTGAAAAATCAGAATGGCTGCTTGGATAAAACATAGAAATTGGAACAACGCTGTCACTGGTCTTTGAATTAAATACTGACTGATTGCTTGAGTAACTGTCAAAAGAATCGTTTTCAGTGTGCTATATTATTCTCAAGGATGTTAAGCAAGTCAGACACATGTACAGCCATCAGGATGCCGGCAGATTGTCAGTCAGACCGACAGTCAGACCGACGATCCGCTAATATACAAGCTAGGGATGGTACTAGGTTGGGGCTAGTGGGAATGAGACGACTGCCTGATGTAACTTATGCCTTTATGGGACATGATAAGCTCATATACATTGATCTGCCTCAAGTCCGTCTACTTTGCCCAGGTGGGGCAGTGTTCCCATACTTCAGTGAAGAATAAATTCCAAACAAAATTTTGAAGTCTTTGAACGACTTTTTGGAGTGAAATCAAGGACGTATCACTAGACATGACTGAGCCAATCTTCATGAAACATTCCACAAACTTTACTGCACTTTTCAAGCACTTAATTATCTTCTATTTATAGTGTATCACAGCGAGATCGTTGTTCAAATTTTACAATATCAAGGAAAGTAATTTCATCAGCAAAACTGAATTCTCTCAGATGTCTACGACGATACTTTACTCCCTACTCCCAGTACGACTTAACTCACCGATAACACTGACAAAGAATGTTGATGTGTACGAAGAACTGAGAAAAATGTATTCCACGAACGGAATATGCGAACAAATCTTGGATCAAGTATTAAATGATTTGAATCAATCGATTGGAAATCACCTCGAGAAACATGAGGTAAAATCTGCTAAAACTACTCTGTAAAGAACTACAATAACTTTAGTTCTAATAACAGCTGACAGCTGACAGCTGACACGTGCCCCATTTACGTGGTGTTTCCATAAACAAAAACAATTATATTTTATCGCCATGCAAACATTCAAAGAACTTATTAACTTTAGTTCTACTGGAGATATGTCATGCAGTCCTAATTTTTTTTCCTTAGTGAAAGTAAGTACATTTTCTTATTGATCATATTGCAGCTTTGCAGCAAAGTGAAATATGAGTATATACCCTGTGGCCAAAACCTGTGTCCAAGCAATCGTCTCATATGGGTCCAGGGACGTTACGAAGACTCTGTTGAGGGCAAGAAGGGGGGAGGGTCAAATTACCATTTTTTTAAATTACGTTTTGCGTTACCTAAAAGTTACCGAAAATTTGGTATATTTAAACCATTAGAAAACT